GGAATATAATTTCAAAACGTCTGAGACAAATATTGCTTAAAAAAATCGTGTTAAAACACTCATCTACTAGCTTTTATAACGTTAACTATAAAGTCAGGAACAAGGAAACATTGTTCCGGTCTGTCTGGGTAAAGCGAGATAGATTTTCTTTAGATTAAACCAGAAAATAGTGAGTTGAAATAATAGGCAATGGCAATCAGCTTTAGAATCAAATAGTTTCGCACCTGTTGGAGCTCATTTGCAGTTGCAAATTTCGCCCTGGTCCAACATACCATCACGCTATATCTCACTGCTGCCTTTGTTTCTGATCAACCCCTCCTCTCTTAATCGTTGATTTTTTTTTTTTAAATCCCAATGTTATGCAAGATTGCTTTCCTTTTCCATGTCTATTAAAAAAGCGTTAAGCCTAATATCATCTGTTGCTCTGCATCATGCTCTTCCTGGTTTGTAGCCGTTTCCTTGGGCACGACCGTGTTTAATAAAAGTTTCCTCCCTCCCTTAGATAAAAAAAAAACCCGCTGCGTGCTGGAACACGAATCAACTGTAAGTTGAGAGCATAAGTGAATGCATACCTGTGTTACGGCATTTGAACTGGTTCAAACTTCTTCAGCAAGCCCAGTGTTTTTTGTTAATGAATACAGCTTCAGCTCACTAGAGTAATACGCTCGTGCTGATGTGCGACCGGCGGCATGTGCGTACGGTGGCCGAGAGAGCTCAACGCGCTGCAACTTAAGAAAACACATGCAAATTGAAAAAACACCAGCAAATTAAGAAAACATCTTCATCAGTTTGACAACACACGCGCTGCAAATCCTCACAGCACATGCAAATGAAGAAACGCGCTGCAAATCCTCACAGCACATGCAAATGAAGAAACAAACATTTAAAAAAAAACATTTTGACCCAACAAACACAGAACGTTGCCTCAACGTAGCCAACCTTTTAGCAACGTTGTAACAACATGGCTAAAAGGTTGTTGGTTCTACATTGCGTCGTTGAGGTTGTTACTGCGTTGTCGACTGCCTTAAAAATAAATGGAGGTAAACGGAGGAGCTGCGGTTTTTTCTGGATAAAAACACGATAACGTTTACATTTATCAACCGATTTCAGAGGTTTGTGTCTGTCTTCAACCCCAACATTTGAGCTTTTCTTGTGCTTCAGGTCAGAACACAGCTCATTCCCTTTGAAATACTGGAAGAAAATCTAAATAATACATCTTTAAGCACTAATAATTTACCATCATTGAGAAAATTGAATAAAACCAGCGAATACAAATCAAAAAGTGACACTCTTGGTAGTCTGCTTTTTATTTTGATAGCACTCTATACAGATATAAACTCCACAACAAACAATAACAAATGCAACTGATAATCTTTTATGGATCCAGTAAAACTTACAGTTACAGTGGTAAAATATTATGCACTGATACAGTGCACAGTAAAAGTGATATGTAATATTAAAAAGTATATGTAGTACAAGTTGTAGTAAAGTGACTCATATAAAAAGCGAGTACAACAGTATATAATAAATTTATAATAGAATAAATTATATGTATAACACCATAATAAATAAATGAATAACAATAGATGAATAATAGCAAGTAGAACCCGATATGAGAGTTGCCTTCACCAATATGGCGGCGACGTTGACGTGCGGTCGAGCGGCCAATGAGGCGTCTAGGTATTTATTATGTCTATGCTCACGACACCCATGGTTGTTGTCAAGTTGTTTCTTGTGACCTTTTATCACACTTTTTTTATTGCGTTTATATCTCACTTTTTTTTCTCACAATTCTGAGGGGGAAAAGTCAAATTGCATGATATAAATTTGCAGTTGCGAGAAAAATGTAAGATAACATTTTTTTTTTTTTTTTAATTTCCGAGATGAGTCAGAATTCTGAAAAAAAGTATGAATGCGGCAATTTATACTTTTTTAATCATTTATATTAATTTGAATGTACACATTTAAATTAAGATTATTTCTTAGCGTTTAATATTTTTTATATGTGTTTGATCATAATGGGATTGGGATGGGATTATATCACATAAAAATCGAACACAAAAGCCTGAATACTGAATTGCAGAAATGTACAAAATATTAAAAGTATTTTTAAATACTTTTAATAATTAAGAGTTTATTTTAATTATTTTATTTCAATTATTAAGAGTTTTAAAAAGGCATGTTTTTTTTTTAATGAACAAATACATGATATTTTATATTTAATTCAAATCGAAGCTCAAAGAATCATTCATCATATAGGAGTCAGAATTATACTCAGTTTCATTGTGGAGACATTGGGAGACTGCAGTATACCTGATCCTACTGCTGCCACAAGTGATGCACATATGGTGTGGAAAATCCATTGAAAAATCCAGATACAGGACACCCAACATTGGAACATTATAGGGCCAAAAAACAGCCACAATCAGCAAAAAAGGAGAAGCTGTTTTAGGCGCATGAGTTGTGAAATAGTGAACTAAAACAGACTGTAGAGAAGGTTATCAGGAGAACAGCTGTTCAGGTTTGTTCATTCTGAATCAGCAAGACAACTGCATATAAGGTGACAAGAAGAGGTCAAATGGAGTCATTCTGACACTGATTTGAATGATAATAATTGGAAGTATTGTGCTTGGAAAAGTATTTTCAGACAGGTTTACAGCACTGAATGCTTAAATGACAGCTGATGTGACACCTATGCAGGCACATCAGTATATGTATAGTGGCAGCGGGGGGTCATTTGTGAACCTCTGTGATTGACACTGCAGGGTGTCAAAACTCATAATGGAACTGCTGTAGAACTTCCAGAGCATATGATCCCTTCCTGTATATATATATTTAAAACAATTTAATGAATTTCCTCCCAAGAAATTATTAGCATAACAAATTAAGGTAAAAGATTAACTGAAAAATTTAACATGAGTTTCAAAATGGCTGTGTCCGAAATCGCATATTCTCGGAGTAGGTACTTTTACTGGATAAGTAATTACTTCACAACTGTTAAAAAAAGCATGCTCTGTGTATGAATAGTAGTATGACGCAGATCAGATGTACTACATTCATCATATTGACATTGTCGTGTTGACCTACCAGTGTAAGTTGCATCACTGTCATTCACAAGTCCACTTCTGTGGCCTTATGGGATAGAAAAGTGTCTATTATTGGATGTGGACTTAAGAATCTCATCAGAAGAAGAAGGTCATCTGGGTACTTTTTGCCTACTGTTTTATGAATACTGCGAATTCTGGCATTCTACTCTTTTCACATACTGTTTTTCACCTACAGTATGTAGCTAATGTCTTTGTTTCTTTATTTTTCAAAACCCTAAATTTCTGATTATTTTCAGGTTTAAATTAAATTTTGAAACTCAGATTTTCAATTAGGTCCAGGATGTGGATATAGATATTTTGACAATATATTACACTTTAGTACTCTTGAACATGAGGAGAAAATCAAATAGCTTTGTAAACAGTAACGTTGGACTGTCAGTGAGATAAGAGTTCCATGATTCTCACACAAATATTGTTATAATGTTACAGGCATCAAACAAGCAGAACCTTATACTCAAGCACAAAAACTGAACGTTCATCCTGGGCTAGCGTTTCAGCTTGAGCAACCAAATATTTCCAAACAGCTGAGAAAAAGAACTCTGATCCCAGAAGGTCATCACTTTCACTAGCTTAATACAAGTTAAAACAGACGGTTACAGAGGGGGAATTTGCTGTTTTGTTTTGTCAATATTGGATCAGTGATGGTTGAGTTGCCCAATGAGGGTCTAGGGAATAAGTAACAAGGTTTTTTATAAACAGCTGCTAATACATCCAAGACTTTGAGCCATGATTTTGGATTCGATATTGTAAACAGAAGTATGTTGATCTGATAAAGACAAACGAGTTACGTGCTTGACGAATCATACAACTATTGTATTCCTTCAGAATTACTTTTTTGAATCACAGATCTTAGTTTATACATAATTGAAAAATATGCTCTATATCAGGGTTCCTCAAATCTTACCCTGGAGGGCCAATGCGCTGCAGAGTTTAGCTCCAACCCTGATCAAACTTACTTACCTGTGATTTTCTAATGATCCTGAAGACATTGATTAGCATGCTCAAGTGTGTTTGATTAGGGTTAGAGCTAAACTCTGAAGGAAAGTGGATCTCGTGGGCCAGATTTGAGGATCCCTGCTCTATATGAACTGATCCCTGCTGTAAAAAAAAAAAATAATAATAAAAATACAGATTAAGATGGTTTCTGATTTAAGCTGTTTTGGTTGATCATAGAACTGGTTTTAGAGGGGTTTAGGCACTTTTTTAACCAGGTAGGCATTGGAAACAAACCATCAACAATAATAGCAGGAATGTCTATTAATATGGTAAACAGTTTTATTTTGATTTATTTTTTTTTTTTCATATTATTGTTGATATTTAGGCAGATTTCCTTACATAACACTTTGCAGAGTGTTTGTTTATCATTTCTCATAATTATATTTATAACAAAATGGCCTCCCCTGAATTTTTTCTTGGCGGAAACTGTGGTTACCATGGTAATAAAA